ATAAGAATAAGACTCTATACCTGCTGAAAAACAGGAATAAAAATATGTTTTACCTCAATTATCATAAATATCCTTAAATATGCAACATTTTAAGATAAGGTTTAGATGCACTGTATTTTACTGCACACTTTCCACTAAAACTTTAACACAAAAACTTATAAAGTAATTATAAAAACTGCAAAAAAATGAAGAGCACAAAATCAAAGTCAACTACTGTCTGTGGGTCTTACCCCCACCGAATAATTTAGTAGCCTATATAAAAGTATTTTTGTTCGGTTATTAGTAACGGAGAAAATTAAAAAAAATTGTAAAATTTCCATGTTATTCATATGGAGAATATTGCCAAATGTTGTAGTTTGCTTGTTTATGGATATAATTTGATCAAACTTGGCAAATTTATTTATTTTGTACTAAGCTATCAATATTTTACTAAAAAACACACTTTATTAGTTTCCTTGTAGCAGCAAACCTAGGTACTCGTTAAACTTAATGTTATTAAAATATATTTAATTGAAAATCAATTCAGACAAATGGAAATTTGCTGAGTCGACAGGTTTGCTGCGGCGGGGGTATTTATATTTGTTCCTATTCGGTAATTTGCTGTTTTCTTGCATTTTCTAAAATGCTATTTATACATTAAATAATTAGAATCAAAAACATAAATTTTATTTATTTTACCTAGTGATTTTGGATTTCATGTAGATTTATTGGTATACGGCAGTTTATAAACTACTAGTCGGCGTTTGCGCAAACTAGAAATACCCACTACCCGACGTGGGCAATCGCTTTTGCTCACATCGCGTTGTGGGTACTTTGAATTTGCTCAATCGACAAAGAAGGTTTCGACTTCGGCGTTTGAGTAAATCAGTTTACCCACAACGCGGTCTGGGCATTTGGTTTCGGACAATGTCCGAAATAAAATGCTCACTCTGCGATGTGGGTATTTTACACTATCCACGTCGCGGAGTGGGTAGAAATATTGAGTGTAACATATATATGTGAAATTAATGAGATGCCTTCTTGTGTAGCTTTGCTACCAACTTAAAACTAGTTGTTTACTTTTACCATGTCTGTTTATTAAAAGCCTGTTTATTAATAGCTATTTACTAATATAGGTTTAGATTACCTGTTTGCTGTCAAAACAATCCTTGATGGTAGTACGATGACTACAGCTGTTTCGTGCTTTTAAAGTAGCACATCTTCAGGTCTCATGATCTATTGCGGGCGTCTGGTTGACCAGTTATTTCAATATATTGTTGTGTGTGTCGTGTTTGTTATGTCAGGGTGTCCACCGATATGGAAAACCAGAAATTATGCGTGATTTTTTTGATCTGGGAATTATGTGTGAATTTTGTATTTTACCGGGAATTTTCAATTTGCCGCGATTGCGCATAAAGATGAAGTTTCCGTGACCGCCAAAGACGACAATGACGTTTCCGTGACCGCGGGAGACGACGATGATTGTTTATAGGTGTGACAATGTGATAATTTCCATGGTAGAAAAAATATCAAGGACAGCTGGCTAAACTTTTAAACATCACAAAGTTCTTGACTTTCCTCAAGATTGAACTAGTTACCTATGATTCCTAGGAAAAGACTATGATTACACTATGGCATACACTCACATTCCCTGGCTATCAGTTAAATATCTATGATTAAGGTCTCTTAACCATTATCACCAGACCAAGGATAAAATATCAGTAGTTTTCTTCCACAGCCCTTATTCATCCTCTAAATATATATCTATATATATAATACGTGAAGCCGTATTTTGTTAACGCAACTCATCCCTTATTTGTGGACCAATTTCAACGTTTAAGGTGTCAAAAGATTCGTCTCAATATGTAGTTTTGCAATAAGGTTTTAGAACTTTAAAATTTCTACTCTTAAGGGCGTTAGGCCCTCTCAAAGGTCGGGTTTTCCCCATAAGAAATACATAGAACAAATTTAAAAACAAAAAACAGCTGTTTATAAAAAGAAACTCATTAGCTTTTTGTGAGTAATTATTAATGTTTTAATATTCAGTAGGTTAAACCAAATTAAACAGTTAATCAGTTTTGTTGGAAGAACGGAAAATGCCTGAAGTTCAAAGAAACAAATTTGAAAACGGGAGGAGGAGACAATTAATAATAAAGTATCTTATGCGTATAAGGAGAGTAGAGAAAGAGAGGCCTGGTCTAACAGATACACATCTATATACACATTCACTTGGTGAGATGAATAATATCATAGATAAATCATACTCCCATAATATTTGCCAGTTCCGCTATGTAACTTACTTTGGACGTGAAAAATATACAAAGCACATAGTGTTGCCACTGTGGCAAAATAAATGTCAGATCAAATGAATGCATGCAAGACAATTTTACTTATGACACTGACAGATATTTCAAAACATTTAGTAGAAACCATAATAATGCCTTGAGTTGATAAGTTCAAGTAGTAGTAAGATTATATCAAATCTTGGCGGACCTTATGTTTTTATTGTATACTTTTATATTACTCGCTCTACTTTAATTTAGAAAAAACACAAATGGGTTGTTTACTTCTAGGTTATGTTGCCAGTTCCTCGGACAAACTTATGCAAAGTTTTTTTACTGAATTTCAGTGGCAATATTAGACATAAGCGAAGGAATTAGTGTTTATGTATTCAACGATCGAGTAGTTACAGTCAAGTTTATTTTTATGATTCAGGAGAGGCAAATAATATACGCTGTTCAAAAAGAGAAAATTAAAATTGCTATCCAACTCTTATAGCTACAAGAGTTATCCAACCTATTTCGATAAATGAATCCATGCTTTCAAAACTTTGGGACAGGTATTAAGAGAAACCACACTAAACAACGTGAGAACGTTCTGATGCGGGGCATATACTGTGACTAACAAACAACACGTTAAAATACGTTAACAAACTATTAATGGTGTTGCTGCTTTTATTTAGCCTATTCAAAGCAGATTATGGCTTTCCAGTTGATAACCTATAGTTTGTGGGTAAAAAATGGAACACATTAAACGGTTGATATCACTCCACTTTTTAAGATACGGAGAAAATTCGTTTGATTAGGGGGATGTCTTGGCAACAGTTTCTTCAATTCTCAATGCTGGAAAAACATTGTTACAACATGTTAGCTCGAATTTAAGCAGATCGTTTAGCATTCATTAGAAGTTATCAGTTAAAACTGAGAGCAGAAATAATGTAGATGAACCTTGACGACGCAAATAGAGATATTTAAAATTAGTTTCTAACAAGTGTTTAAACAACTCTAAGATGTATCTAGAATTACTCGAATTTAAGCATAACGTTTTCATCGGCGTTATGTTTCATACTATGGGGCTCATTGAGCCGCACGGGTTCTCTAGTGTCTATGTTAATATGTGATTATCAGCTTGATTATTTAATTTTCAACCCAATACCCTTAGAAGTTCATCTAAGAAAAGTAACACCAATAATCACTAGGAGCAACATTGGTCATATTTTTGACATTCAGTTACTGTAGTTCATGTACTATTAAGAACAAGTACCTGGGGACCGAGCTTTGCTCGGGAAAAGTCATTAGTTCACTCTGAAAGCAGTCTTAGTATTGGAGATACATAAATCTATTCCCAAACTCCACACGGCTCGCCTTTACTACGTCCTACACCATTTCCTACGTCTTGGACCTGTTTTCCTCCCTTCCCATAGCATTTTAAGATTGCAGATACCTCAATCTAATCCTCATAGACAGTTCCCACACTCCGGACTACTCGCCTTGACTACTTCCTTCACCACTTCATACGTCACGGACATGTTTCCCTCCATTCCCATAGCATTTTAGGATTGCCCATACCCTTATCTAATCGTCATAAACAGTTCCCACACTCCGGACTGCTCGCCTTTTGACTACTTCATTCATCACTTCCTAAGTCACAGACCTGTTTCCCTCTATTCCCATAGCATTTATGATTGCCTTTACTACTTCCTTCACCACTTCCTACGTCGCGGATCTGTTTCCTTCCCTTCCTATAGCATTTTAAGAATTGCAGATACCTTAAGCTAATCATCATAAACAGTTCCCACACTCCGGACAGCTCACCTTGACTACTTCCTTCACCACTTCCTACGTCACGGACCTGTTTCCCTCCCTTCCCATAGCATTTTAGGATTGCAAATACCTCAATCTAATCGTCATAAACAGTTCCCACACTCCCGACTGCTCGCCTTGACTACTACCTTCACCACTTCCTACGTCACGGACCTGTTTCCCTCCCTTCCCATATCATTAACTACTTCCTCACCACTTCCTACGTCGCGGGCCTTTTTCCTTCCCTTCCTATAGCATTTTAAGAATTGCAGATACTTTGATCTAATCGTCATAAACAGATCCCAGACTTCGCACTGCTACCCTTGACTACAATGTATCGAGTAATCTTCAGTATAATCTTTGCTAGATATTAACATGTGATGTTTTACCTTTTGTACTGTATTTGTAATTTGTTGTATACTGTGGGTAGTTGGCTTATTATGAACACATGCTACAATTTCAAGTATGTTGTTTACTTTTTACTTGTTATTTAATTCAGCCAACATGGTTACCTAGCAACCCATAAGACTAATGTTAAAAAAAAAATTGATTTTCAGTTGCATTTTTCTACGTAATTAAATTTTTTTTGGCAGTTCTAACTGCAGTAAACTCGTTTTTATGCCAGAAATAAACTATTTACAACATTTGAAGAAAATCGTCGGAGCCGTTTTCGAGATCTTGGTGCAAGCATACATACATACATACATACAAGCAAACCTTGCTCGTATTAGAGTATAGGATATCTTGTTTTGTTGCACGGAGCATTTTGTATTTTGTTACACATACAGAATCACAGTGTAAATCACATAGTTTACTACATGTTAATTTTGTTTAAGCTCTGGTAATTTGGTGCTATTTTTATGGCTTTTTAAAATCATGTTGTACATCATAAAACTCTTGGTTTACACCAGCTGGCTAATTTGATTATTGTGTTTGAAGGTGGTGTGCGAAAGGAAGGATGTATTTGCGTCAGGATGTGCTGTGGCGAGAGCATTTCCATTGTACTCTCGCAAGTTTGCCCGAGTCATGGAGAACACCACTGTGACAGTGACGGTGGAGTTCCTAGTCTTAGAGGAAGACGGGTCAGTGTCCATGGTGACCAGGGAGGAGGCTGCAGCTCTGCAGTCCGCAGCCGACGGAATCAGACTAGCCGCACGCATCGTCGACACTCCCTGCAACGAGATGAACGTTGACATATTTGTCAATGTGAGTTGCTCAGCCAAGTTTAATTTGTAAACTTGCTTTATGAATGAGATGTAGCCTATTTTAGCAAGTAACTGTGTAGATTGTTTAAAAAAAAAGGATGAAAGTGGAAATCACTAACCAGGGTGTCCACCGACCGGGAAAACCGGGAATTATGGGTGATTTTTTTTAACCGGGAAAAAACGGGAATTATGCGTGAATTTTGTATTTTACCGGGAGTTTTCAATTTGCCGCTATCACGCATTAAGATGACGTTTCCATGACCGCGGGAGACGATGATGATGTCCAAACGGTCGTGGGATTTGTTGGCAATTTTGCCGCGATCGCGCATGACGACGATGACGTATCTGTGACCGTGGGAGACAACGATGACGTTTTCTTGACCGCGGGTGACGACAATGAAGTATTCGACCCGTGGGTGACAACAATGACGTTTCCGTGACCACAGGAGACGATGATGATGCCCAAACTCCAAATTTCTGTGGCATTTTTTAGTGATTTTGCAGTGATAGCGCATGACGACGTTGGCACATTTTTCCAAATTTTTTTCAAGCGTTCAGGATCTGTGTACTCTTTTTACCTTGTCTTCTCCTGATTGAGGCTTGGTAGCCTTAGTTTTTATTGCTTTTTTGAAATTCAGTTCCTCTACATCTACAAATTTAAGCCAAGAAATATTGATAAATTTAGATATAAAAAATACACTATGCTGACAACCATTATTGTTGACTAACAAATAAGGGAACATTCACATGTCAGTTGTGGTTGAGATTCAGACTATTTGATGCTCAAGTGTTAGTTCTGTCTTTTTCATGTTGGGGCTTGTTATTTTTGTTTGTATTTTGTTTCTTGTTACACAAAGACCTAATAATTATAAACAATTACTTACATTGAACAGAAAAGCTCAAATCATAACATTAACCCTAAAATAAAAGAAACAAATCTTGTCGACTATCACTCAATGTCACCACACATAAAAAACTGTCTTCAGATATTACAATGACATGAGAAGTCTACTTGTTTTATACTACGTTTGTAAAATTTAGATGGTTTTAGGGGAAGAAATTATCCCCTCCATTAGTTCCAACCTTTAAAAAAATAGCTCAACCCCTGAGGTTTGCTAAAACGTTTATCAGCTGTTGCAAAATTCTTAAATATCAGCATAGATCGAGTTTGGTATCACATTAAAGGTCTTAGTTAGTAGAACACATTTCAGCAAACTCGAATTCAAAAGGACAACTGAGTCAAAAATGACAGCTGTTCAAAAGTTCATTGAATTTGCTTTGCTCCTCAAGGGGCTCCACGAGAATTCGGAAGAAAATCATTAACGAAAGCATAGGTCGATATGCACATCATATTAGAGGTCTTAAATAGTAGAATACAATACCGCAAATTTGTGCTCAACAGAACAACTGAGTAAAAAATGGCAGCTGCTCAAAGATTCAAAATGGCAGATTCAAGAAATATTTTAACGGCTGCCATTGTTGACTCAATTGTCCGTTTGAGTTCGGGTTTGCAGCAATATGTTCTACTAACTATGACCTTTAAGTAGATGCCAAACTCGACCTATGCTGCTATTTAAGAATTTTGTCTGACTCCTCGTGGTCCGTCCTCCCCCCTAAGAGATAATATAGTGAAAGTAGCTGATATACAGGGTTGTCAGCGACCGGGAATTCTAGGAAAATCAGTAATTATGCGTGAATTTTAACCGCCGTGAAAAAACCGGGAAACATGCGTGAAAATGGTATTATTCGGGGATTTTCCGTGAATTCCAACTATTATCATTATGTTCGTTTATTTTCGAGGATATTTATAGTTCTAACAATTTTGAGCCAATTTATCCGAAAAATTGTATAGTGAATGTATATTTACGGAAGATTCAGATTAGAAATTAACCAGATTCGAGAATCGAATCTCAGGTCTGCTGACAGAATACGCCGACTCGCCGCCAGTTCTATAATTACGTGAAGCATGTAACAGGGTAGAAGCTGTGTCGATCCACGTATAGCTGGAAAAAAGTCAAACTCAGTCTCAAAACTCAAGGTCATAGCTTGAATTATATCCTAGTAAGATATTAATTGTATTTTAAATAGGGATAGGCCCATAACAGAATTTCTCGATTCTATACCAGTTCTGAAATATTACTCACGATTCTTGATACCGATTCCATGTAAAATCTCATATTTTTAAGGAAGTTGCCATGGTCAATGTTTTGTTGTTCGTATCATGTTTGAATTCTGAATAAGACAACCGACGTAGTTCATGCCAGCTCAAAATTATCGTTCGATCTCAGTTATTTATCGTATCCAAGTCTGATAAGTAAACAGAATCAGGGAACCGCTCTTGCTTTTTACAAAACAAAATAGCAAACGCAATAAGTATTTGTCTGCGTTCGTGTTGTGCGTTCGTGTTGCAAGCAATGGCGGAACTATTTATATATGTGTCCGTTAGCGCGATAACTCAAGCAAAAATCATCCGATTTTGATGAAATTTGTTACAAACGTGTAAACCTACGTTTATTTGAACGAGTTCGCGAACCAGTATGATCGGTCTATGGGAACAGGGGTTTTATGGGGTAAAAATTGGTTTTCCCATTTTTGACCCTAAAAACTTAAAATTTAGCATTTTCTTTCCAAACCTATAAGAGCTATGTAGAGCTTAAAAAAAACAAATGATTTAGTATATTGAAGCGTTATTATGCGCCTAATGGTTACAGAGAAAATTCCAAAAAACTGTAAATTAAAAATTCCCATGTTATTCTTATGGAGAATAAGTAAACTGTTGTAGTTTGCTTGTTTATGAACATAATTTTGATCAAATTTTGAAAATGCATTCATTTCATACTAAACTAAAAAATAGCTATTTACATTACAAGTGTAGTAAGAGCGTTTTTACATCACGCAGTGAAAGTTGCATAATTTACCTAAGTGATGTAAACACGCTCTTGCGTAACGTGTAACGTACAAGATTTTACCTGACCCGACAATATACAGGAGGTTACGAACAATATTTTTCATTATCCATTTCACTCATCTTCTAACAGTAACGTTCAGTTACAAACAAAAGCTAGGTTAGGAAAATTTTTCAAAACATAACAATAAAATTCAAGCACACAGCTGATTTCTAGCGTTAAACGTCGTTGGCTCCATAGAGTTATATTTTTTAAGTTATCCCCTCAATGTTATTTAAATGGGTTTCATTACATCACCGAGTGAGTTTTTTGATACTTTACATCACTCGAGAAGTAAGGAAGTTGTATACATCACGCTTAGGATAGGGAAGTTTAACATGGCGGGTTAGGTAAAAACACCTTTTTACCCTCCCTGTTGCAGCAAACCTAAGTACTCGTTAAACTAGTGTTATTTTAAATAGGGAATAAATGTGATATCTTTAAGGAGAAATTTTAGTGTAAATCCAATCAGGCAAATGGAAATTGGCTTAGTCTGCTGGTTTGCTGCGGCGGGTGTATTTTTTTATTAAAGTATAATAAACCACGCCACAAACAAATACAAAGGAAAAATACGGACAACAATATATTGTTGCATAGCACTGAAAGGGTTAAAATAATAGCTGCTTATAACTTCTCCAAATACATTTACTTACAATCTGGGTGTTCCAGGAGATACAACAAGTGGCGCAGCTGCTGAATGTCAATGTGTCTGTTATCCGAGGGGAGGAGCTGAGAGAGAAGGGAATGGGAGGGATCTACGGTGTGGGCAAGGCAGCCAACTGTCCCCCAGCTCTAGCAGTGTTGAGTCATCAACCCCCAGGTGCAACTCAGACCATCGCCTGGGTTGGCAAAGGCATTGTCTACGACAGCGGCGGTCTTAGCATCAAGTCAAAGGTGATACAATCCCGTCCATTCCTGAATACAGGATATAATAAGGGAACTAATCTAATGGCAATTCTGATCCATTCCCTTGACCAGTAGTTTTTATTAATATAGTTTTATTTACAGAATGAATCTAAAGTGAGTAAGGAAGAGAATTTTGGCTTTGATTATTTTTCTAGTAACCCATTTGTTTCAAATGCATTTTTATACATGTATGTTTAATTCCTGTTATGTATTAATTCAGTTTGATCAATCCCCAATAATGGCAGTTATTGGTGGTGATAGCAAGAGCTCTTAGTACAATCAGTATGTACATTTTACTCCATCTTTCCTGGACTCTCAGAAGTAAAAATGTCATTGAGTACTTACAGTAGACTCTCTCTTATCCAGATACCTTTTAACCGGACATCGGATTAACCGGACTACACTCGGCGGAAATGACATCTGTTTAACCAGACAGTTTTTATCAGCACATTGGTTTAACCGGACTAGATCGGCAGGAAGTGGGCAGTACTGAAACGACTGTTCTCGTGGGAAAGATTTGAGACCAGTGGTCATGTAAACGCTCTCCTAAATTTAAGTCAAATACTGTCTACAGTATGCTCTTAAACAGTCCGTTTTAACTAGTTTTTGGGGACGTCGGTTTAACCGGAAAAACCGCTATCCGGACTGGCCTCGGTCCCGAGGAGTACGGATAAGAGGGAGTCTACTGTAGACAGATACTAAAGGAAATATGCGAATGAATATATGCAAAGTAAATGTTTTTCAAAGTTTTAACATCACAGTAGAGAGACATTTTTGAAAGGGCAAAAATTCTAGAGTTGATTTTTGAAACTATTTTTTTTGTATGCTCATTCCAATTCAAATTTTGATCTATTGTTAGACCCAAAAACTTTGTGCTGGTCTTTGGCTCAATAAGTTGTGAGTCATGCATTATTATTTGGTGATTAGAATTTTGATTTTGTGGTGTTTTAAATGTGATAAAATTAGTTTTTTTGTTATTTAATTTTAGGTTTTGGCACACCAGATAACTGTCCGAATTTCCAAGTTCTAGGAAAGCAGAAATTTCTGTTTGTTCCAGTGTAGGAGAGGAAATCATTAAATTAGCATCGTCAGCATACAGGGACAATTCACTTCTAGTTCTACATACTAGGGCACTGCTTTTGTCCTTTAAATAGCACAAAAATAGCAATGGCCCTAGAATATACCCTTGAGGTACTCCATATTTTATTGTTTTAATTTCTGAGGCAGTTTGAATAATTTTATTATTTTTGTATTGAGTATTTCAACATATTGTGTTCTATTACTCAGATAGGAATTAAATAACTTCTTGACGCGTTATTAAATTTACGGAAAGTAAATAAAGAGACATCTTATAACACTTGAAACCTATATTTTACTCGACACTCCAATTGAAATCGATCACCACTTACCATCTTTTTGTATATTTACCATCTTGTGAGCAACAGTATAAGCGTAAATATATGTTTTAAGTGTTATAAGACGTCTCTTTATTTACTTTCCGTAAATTTAATAACACGTACAATGCTGATCAAGAAGTTATTTAATTCCTATCTGAGTAATAGAACACAATATGTTGAAATACTCAATACAAGAATAATAATCATGCTCTCCTAAATTTAAGTCGAATATCACAGTAAACAGTCCATTTTAATGAGTTTTTGGGGACGTCGGTTTAACCGGAAAACCCGTTATCCGGACTGGCCTTGGTCCCGAGGAGTCCGGATAAGAGGAAATCTACTGTAATATCATTTGAGCAGAAATGCCTTTGTGTAAAAGTGAAGTTTGATTACTTAGGCTTGTAAATAATTGCAGACGGATATGCCTGGGATGAAACGTGACTGTGGAGGAGCTGCAGCCATTCTAGGTGCGTTCTATGCCACAGTGAAGCAAGGGTTCTCCCAGAACCTGCATGCTGTCTTCTGTCTGGCTGAGAACTCTGTGGGTCCTGACTCTACACGGCCTGATGACGTTCACACTCTCTACTCCGGCCGGACTGTAGAGATCAACAACACAGATGCCGAGGGTCGTCTGGTGTTGGCTGACGGAGTCGTGTACGCCTCTCGCGACCTTAAAGCTGACCTCATCTTGGACATGGCTACTCTTACTGGGGCCCAGGTATGTGTTTTTGTTAATCCTATTTTTAACTCATACCACAGTAATTTTTCTCAATGACAACAATATCACAGGATTTTCATTTCAAAATAATGGTGATTACATTTTGTACAATCTCTACTCTTAGTTAAAAGGCTGCCATCTTCAACCTAAGGACAACTGTCTTATTGAGTTTTTGAATTTGATTTTTTCCATTTCACAAATTCGTTTTTTTGCAGCTCCTGTCTTATTATGAACTTGATACTTGATTATATTTTGTTATTTTACTAAAAGGTTTATGCTGTTTTGAACTAGAGATAGTTATTACTTATATTCAAAGGTGTTAATGACACTCAAGATATAGCATTCACTGGTATAGTGAGCTATTTTTTTTAATTGGAATAGTGGCAAGGCTAGTTTTTCCTTGTTAAATCATATTACTAATGTTATTTTCAAGAATACTTCATTCTAAGAGATTGAAATGAAAATTAAATTATTATGGAAGGAGATAGACTTTTATCTTTAATCTACTAAAAAGTTGTACACTAGAAAAACAACTAGTTTTATGTTTTATGTACCTGTTATCCCCTTTAAGGTCGATTCACACATATCAGCACGTCACAGTTCAGTCACATCAGTCACGTCACAGTCAACCAAAACATTCTTTAATGGATTTACTGTTGCGTTATCTACACTCATCCAGCGCAGGTCCGTCAGTCGCTCTGCAGGCGTCTGTCAGACATTTTCATATTTCTTCTCAACGATATTTTTGGATTGTTCGGACGACTGACTGATGTGTTTGAGGTTAGAAAATAGTGTTTTTTTTTTTTTTATCCAAACGGTTGTGTTTGTATTTTAAGTACTGTTTATAACAATCAACAAAAAGGACGATAACAATTTGATAGAATATTGTGTTTTAATTTTAAAATTTTAAATGTAACATCACTGTAAATAAAGGGACAGAAAACTGACTGTAATCAAGTGAGTGACAGGTTGACTGAGAATTGAGAAATTACAGATGCAACTGAGACTGGACTGTGACTGGATTGTAACCGAACTTTGATTGGACTGGACTGATATGTGTGAATCAACCTTTGATCTAATTTTCCAAAATGAGCTAGCTGAACACCTTAAACAGTTCTTAATTAGCAATTTCACTTCCCCTTGAAATGGATTTATAAACACAAAATATATTTTCTTACAGTCACCCGACAAAGTGGGCTTCCTTGCACAGATTATAGTACAGAAAGCCTTACTTTGGCACACACCAGTATTCCAACCAAACAACACAAAACAGCGTCCTTTCATTATGAACGTAATCTGTGTACGTTTGAAAATAAGTTGGCAGCACTTAAAGATATAACGACTACGATCAGCTGGTGCAGTGTTTCCCATTTCGTTCGATATTTGGATTTAACATAACAACATAACCTAAAAACGTGTTGTACAGTGTTTCAAAGACTAATTATTTATAGGATTTATAGTAACTGTTGGAAAAATATAATGTGTTACACAAATAACTATTGGAGATTTAGGTTAAGGGTGTAACATAGAGCACAAGGGCCTAGGTTTTTAGGATTTTTTGAGAGGATAGCAGGCTTACCTAAATGGGAAAGAGTCCAAACTGGCACAGGAAACACACAACTTTGCACTATACTGTATACACACAAAAATGGACATGTAGAAAACTCTCTCTCCCTTAGTTGAAAATGCTGTCAGTGACAGTGAATTATTCTAATGTTTTGTGTATATAGTGTAAAGTAGTTTTGTGTTTCCTGTGCCATTTTGGACTCTTTCCCATTCAGGTAAGCCTCCTATCCTCTCCAAAAATCGTATTGAAAATGTTGGCTTATTCTGTGCATCAAACGTTTTACTTTCATGATTTAAGGCTATCAGCACTGGAAAGTATCATTCAGCTGTACTGACCAACTCTTCTGAGTGGGAGAACAATGTGGTAACAGCTGGCCGAACGTCTGGTGACTTGGCATTCCCTATCGTCTACTGTCCAGAACTGCACTTCAGCGAGTTTACATCTGCTATAGCAGACATGAAGAATTCTGTTGCTGTGAGTAACGTAATATTTAGTGATTCCGAAACCGATTCCGATTCTACAACTTTGGTTTCGATTTTCGATTCCGCACTCGATACCGATACCTGTTAAAAATTCATTTAATAACACATATAACTTATGAACTTATATAACTTTATTTAATCTTTATACAATAAGATAACTGCATTGCTATTGATTACGGTTACATAGATTAGGTTGGCCAATAAGGAAAAAAAGAAGACATGAATTTTAAAATATTTTATTAAATTAAATTGAGACAACAATCACCTGTAAGTAGGCCTAAAATGTTCACAGAGTTTTTTGTTTGCTTAAGAATTCATACATCTAGGCCTACAATGAATGTCCCATATTGCTTGAGTTATAAACTCAAAGTCAATATCAAAGTCATCTTCAATATTGTCATCATCAATATCACTTAAATTACTTATAGAATCACATAAAAGTGATGGAGTTCGTCACATAACTAGAACGGAGTCGGAGATCATAATCCATTTTGAACAACTCACTACGCACGCATAGCAAACAAACAAAAAAAAAACCAAAACATAGGTTAAACAATTAATTTGCCATTTGCAAACTTACGACAGCTGTTTCAGTTCAGTCAGAGAAAATCAACATAAAATAACGATAAAAATACATCGCTAAATGGCTTTCTACAATAGTCACCATGAAGCCCTGAATTAGCTGAACAGTTTGTGGGGTCTCATATCTTATAATGTCATAGCTTATAATCGTGAATTTGTTCCATAGCTTATAATCTTGAAAATGTGGCATAGCTTTTATAATCAGTCACACTTTCACAAAATATTATAAGCTCTGCCACAATTTCGAGTTAGGAAACGCGAGTTGAACTAGTACCATTGACTATATACACCTTATGTGTATTATATGTATGTATTAAATGCTTGTACCATATGACAACATCGCCTTTTTGATCTGACAACATGGCGGCAACTAGAGTTCTGTTGTTCCTTCTGTTAGTTGTTACTGTTGTCGTGTTGTCAACTGAACAACACAGCTCGTCATTGCTACTCGATGTGAAATGCAAAGGCAAGCTATTTTGGATTATAAAACTATTACGAATGTGAGATAATGAACTTTAGCATTTGTGGCATTCCTTAGGGACATTAGGATGTGATTTATTTAGAGATGTGCGAGCACAGGTTTTTCAGGTCGAGTTGAGTTCGAGTCGAGTAATTGGCAAAAGATTCGATTTTCGAGTTTGAGTCGAGTTTAAACCAAAAAGATCGAATGATGTGTAAGTTTAAGTAACTCCTTATGCCTAGAGTGTTGAGTGCAATTTAATATTTGCCACATGTCTGTTTTTAATGTTATACAGTGTGTAAAAAATGTCTCCCCCCCCTATTTATTTTTTTTATTTTTTAAAATAATGAAATATCGTTTGGGGAGTGATAGTAACATAACGTGAAGTTTCTTTTGACATAGTTAAAATTTTTGAATTCCCCCCCTAAATGGGGGGTAAGGGGGGTAACTCAAAATTTTTAAATGTAAACCCCTAGCTTGTGACACCTCATTTGAAAGAGCATTAAAAAACTAGGTAAATGGTGAAAACTAGAAATTTCTATCTAATTTCTAACCGGAATTACAGCCAAAAACGCTCAAAATTACAATATTTTTGGGAAACTCAAAATTGTAATTATTGCATACACCCTTTGAGTGACCCCTCATTTGAAAGAGCAATAAAAATCAGGCTTATGTTATTAAATTAAAAAACTGTTACTTCCTACAGCCAAAAATTTCTACAGCTAATAAATTATTATTTTAATAAAATCTTTTATTTCTTTATTATTGCAAAAGTGCAAAATAACATCTTTTGAAAAAAAGTGAAAATGAAATGTATTGGTTATCCACAACAGAGCAAGTACAAACTAAAAATTTAAGGTTATTACAATAAGAAATTTTCGTGAACATGAGTTTGTTTCATTAGATGACCTTTGCTCAGCCGGTTTTCCCTGTTTGCCCTGGCATGGGTTTCCTCAACTCATTCTGTCAATGAGCTGTTACAGACAGGTCTAGGTCAGTACTGCAGCATAAATTCAATTTTTAATAATAACAATTATGTAACTATTTGATAACTGTAAAGACTTTTTTGTTCATTAAAATTCTCTAAGGTTAATAATTAATTGTTAGTTTGTTGCTATTTAGTTAGTCAGGTTTTTTAATTTAGTTTCTTTATTCAATAGTTAGTTTTTTGTTAAAAGTTTATTAGAAATTTTTAATAATGGCTCGAAGCAAAGACGATAAGGTGGAAATGGTTTTAACTTTTGGTGCCTCGAATGAAAACTACCACGAGACAGAAAGGAGATTCAACGAAGCACATCCTGATCGACCAGTGTGTCGAAAATATTTGAGGGAACTAATTGGCAAGTTCAGACGAACTGGATCCGTAGCTAATGCTCCAAAATCAGGCCGAACATCTTTAGACGAAGAAACACAATTTGAAGTTGTGGCAGAATTTGTAGAGGATCCTCAGCAGTCGACTCGATCAGTTGCTACACTGTGTGACTTATCCCATCAAACAGTTCGAAATATTTTAAAGAAAAATAAATTTCACGCTTATAAATTTAAACTTGTCCATGCATTAAACGACGATGATCCAGACCGTCGACTTCAATTTTGCGAAGAAATGGAAGAACTAATCAAAGCTAATCCACATTTCGTGTATAATGTAGCTTTTTCAGACGAATGCACTTTTTTTGTTAATGGAACTGTCAATAAACATAACTGCAGATACTGGGATACTGCAAACCCCCATGTTTACCGAGAATCCTCAACGCAGTACCCAGAAAAATTAAATGTATGGGCTGGGATGTTGGGTAATCATATCCTAGGACCATTTTTCATCGATGGCAACCTCAATGGAGAACATTATTTGCAAATGCTTCAAGAGTCGGTTTTTCCAGCCATAGTGGAAGTTATTGCACAACATCCACATGAGTTTGATGAAGATATTGTTCACTTCCAGCAGGATGGCGCTCCCCCTCATTTTCATCGACAGGTCCGAGCATTTCTAAATACACAACTGAATGGTCAGTGGATTGGCAGGCGTGGCCGGATAGAATGGCCAGCACGGTCCCCCGATCTAACACCTTTGGATTTTTTTCTATGGGGGTTTATTAAATCGACAATTTATAAAACTCCCGTACAGAATATTGAAGACTTGAGACACAGGATTGTTGAAGCCTGCAGAAAAATCACTGAGGAAACATTCCATAACGTGAGGGAAGAGTTCACGTCTCGTTTATTTTACTGTCAGGAAGTAGGAGGACTTCAGTTTGAACATTTGCTGTGAATTTATTTGGTGAACACAACATCGCTACTGTTATTTCGCACTTAAGGTTAGTTTGTTTGTAAAAATCATAAAAAACCATCTAATTACCTGTTAGAAATTATTAATCCTTATCATTGGCCTGATTTTTATTTATCTTTCAAATGAGGGATCACTCAAAGGGTGTATGCAATAATTACATTTTTGAGTTTCCCAAAAATATCGTATTTTGAGCGTTTTTGGCTGTAATTCCGGTTAGAAATTAGATTAGAAATTTCTAGTTTTCACCATTTACCTAGTTTTTTAATGCTCTTTCAAATGAGGTGTCACAAGCTAGGGGTTTACATTTAAAAATTTTGAGTTACCCCCCTTACCCCCCATTTAGGGGGGGAATTCAAAAATTTTAACTATGTCAAAAGAAACTTCACGTTATGTTACTATCACTCCCCAAACGATATTTCATTATTTTAAAAAATAAAAAAAATAAATAGGGGGGGGGAGACATTTTTTACACACGTATACTTCAATGATGAATACCAGATGGTTAAATTGTTAAATGTGTTGTTTAAAACAATAATAGTTTAATCCATGTCTTCTTTAGTTGGTTTAATTAAAAGTGTTGAGTTTAATAATTCAGTTTGCCCTTTTATTTTAATGAGCTAGGTATTTTAATTTAGTGTCCAGGGAAACCACATATTTACAGGTTATGGGCCCAGGGCTGTTTAAATACAAAATTTGTTTATATTTTTTTACCTGGCTAATCAAATTGAATTAATATGGCAACTGAACATGAAAAGTATCGAATACCATTGTTTGATAGAACCAATTTCAGCAATTGGAAATTTAGAATTGAAACTCTGTTGGAGGAATTAGAGTTATTATCTTTCGTAAAGGAATGTGTTACCAAAGTTGAATTACTGGAAGAAGACACAGATGAACAACGAGAGAGGAAGGAAGCAAGGTTGTTGGAATTAGCGAAACAAGATCGGAAGTGCCAGTCGCAGATTATACAGCGTATTGCCGACAGCCATTTGGAATATGCAAAAGACAAGACAACTGCTTTTGAACTATGGTCATCTCTCTGCAACACATTTGAAAGGAAAGGAATTGCTAGCCAACTTCTACTAAGGAAGCAGTTACTAACAATGAAGTTTGATGCGAAGAATGATGTTTTAAATCGTCACTTTCTGAAATTTGACAAAGTCAAAGAGTAGAGAGTTACGCTCTACAGGAGCAACTGTTGAGGAATCTGACATTGTTTGTCACCTATTACTGACCATGCCCAAAGAATATGACGTCGTTGTCACGGCCATAGAGACTCTATCAATGAAGGACTTATCTCTAAGCTTTGTGAAGGTCAGACTGCTGGAAGAGGAGACAAAGAGGAGGGGCATTGAAAAAATGGAATTTGATTGTACATCACCACCTACTGCCTTCCAGTCTCAACAAGGGAAAACATTTCCAGGAAATCAAGGAACTTCTGGCAACTCGTTCAATTTCACTTGTCACAGATGCGGAAAGCTTGGACACAAACGAGCTAACTGCAGAGTCAAATTACCACAGAACCCATCAAAGAAAAATAATTCTGCGAACGTGGTCGACACCAAACAGGAAGATGCATTTTGTTTTGGAACATCAAGTGAAGACTGTTCAGCAGATACCATAAATTGGATATTAGACTCTGGAGCAACAGAACATCTGGTTA